GAGATTAGTGCTATACAAACCAACAATATTGACTCGATATTTTTACTTGCTGATGAGGCATGCCAATATGACTTGCCATTTCAACAACTAAACATTCGACAGAAGCTATTTCAAATGCATCCTCTATTCTTTCATCTTTTTGTGGCCTGTGGGTAGATAACATTTTCCTCAAACAAATAATCATGTTCTATTTTCAAGAAGTGGGACCCCTGATATATGACTCCATATTGTTATTTTCATGTGTGACTCATTTGTTTCCAAATGTAAATTGTGTCTTTCCCTTGACTTATTGTGAGTTTGATGCTGTTTCAGATGTTAATCACACAATTAGACCCATTAACGGAGCAGCAAATCGTAGGAATTTACGGCCTCCAGCATTCCTCACAACAGGCAGAGGAAGCCCTGTCCCAGGGATTAGACCAGCTTCAACAGTCCCTTATCGACACAATGGCTAGTGGTTCTGTCAATGATGGTATGCATCATATGGTTGTTGCTCTTGGGAAGCTAGCCAGTCTCGAAGGTTTTGTTCATCAGGTAAACCAATTACATTCATTCTTACACTGGTCTACATTGATATAAGTGGATCGTGGCACATCTTTCTGCTCCTATATATGGTTTGGTCGCAATTAAAACTGCCTTACTATACACTGTCCAGGCATGTCAACCCGCGTCATTGGTTAATTTGCTTTCCGTAACACTGAGAGTGATAGTGTAGTGGCAAAAGCATTAGAAGGTGAAATTTCATCTGCAGACAAGGTAGTTAAGGGTTTGAGACTTTGAGTTGCGGGGACGATGGCATGAGATGTCCTTGTCCTATGATGTGACTACTCCTATGCTGGAGCTACTAACACTCCTGGATATGGGATGCGACTATGACTCAACCCGCTTGAATAAGTGCCTGTGGTTCACCCAATCATGTAAGAATCCATGTCGTTGGTTCCTGGGCCTACTAAGGTCATGTTCTGATAGAGTCTCCACAACTGATCGCCGCCCCCTCTTACCATTTTCGTCAGCCAAAAAAGAAAAGCTTTCCTTTCCTTCACACCTAAGATGTTATTGGGGGAATATTTCCTTACCTACCAAGAATGGGGAAAATGACACACATCAATACTCTCTGAGGTTATAATCTTTCAATGCTTTATCAAATTACTTAGGTGTGAACACTTTTGATGGTTAGTTATATGCAAAAGTGAGGTGACATTTATCGGTCTATCTAGGTGATTTAATCACCACAAAAAGAAACAAAAGGGTAACCTTAAAGCTAAGACAGCTCACATTGATGGGCTACATAACCACTAGTACAGTGTTCCATTCCAGTTTACATCAATACAATTAGTGTAAAATCTCCATTGACTTCTTGCAACAAAAGACAAAGAATATCTACAAACCATGTTCAGAAGGTTCAGTTAGTCATCAAGATATGCTCTCGCATATGTCAAGTATACGCAAGACTGATCTCACTGTCTGATAAGTGCTTTCTTCATGATGATCACAACAATCCTGAACGACCTAGATACATCTATTGATCAGGATCAGTGTCATGTCTTGGCCAACTTTATTATTTCATTCAACTGTTCATACAACTAATTCATGGATCTTTGCAACTGCATGCTTGACGTGCGTGTATGATGGATCATTTTATTATTTCATTTATACGAAAGATTTTGTCGTTAATATATATGCCTGCTTTACGTATGTTATGGATGATATTGTTAACCTTTATAGGCTTGTTGTATTTTCATTACTACGGATGATTTTATAGGCTTGTTGTATTTTCATTACTACGGATGATTTTGTGGTGAATATACATTGCTTTGTTGTCAAAGTAATTCCTTTATTATACCATGTAGAATTAGAATATGTGTTTGATGTAATCTTCCATCTGACATGTTATTATCGGAAGGTGCTTTGACAATGACATCGTTGAAATAAAAGCCCTTGCAAGACCTATCAACAAAATGCTTATAATTGTTTTGGGAGAGTATTATATGGACAAGTTAGTTGAACATTTTGTAAAATATCTGTTTTTTTAAACCCATGATTGCAATAGTCCAACTCTCACAGATAAGACAACTCCATGGGTTTCAACCCTTTTGGAAGCTTGTTTAGAGTTTATGCCCATGCGTTTTTGTACTAGGGACCCATCTCAACTTCCACATGATGGTTGTAGTTTGGTTTTCATTTTTTAGATTTTTTTTTTTTTATTTGTGATGGGTTCAGTCTTACTAATTATTTTTATTTTCGAAATGCAGGCTGATAATCTAAGGCAGCAAACACTTCATCAACTGTGCCGGATATTGACAGTAAGGCAAGCAGCGCGATGTTTTTTGGTGATTGGCGAGTACTATGCTCGATTACGAGCCCTAAGTTCCCTTTGGGCATCTCGACCACGAGAGTAAGAGTATTGGATACAAATATCCCTATATATATGTGTGCTCTAAATATATCTTAGGGTGTGTTTAGTAGCAACTTCAATTAGGAAGGGCTAGAGGGACAGTTTCTATAGAGTTTTCTTTGCTAGGGCAGATAAGGGTTTCCTTTTTCATTATTGCGAGAAAGGTAAAAGAGAGTCGAAAAAAGTCTTTGGGCAAGATTATTAATCTTTTTGGCAATGTATTCTTCGTTCAATAGAGTATACTTAGAAGCATACAGGCAAATTTATTCTCCATTTTAATAACAACAATTAACATGACCATACATGTGACGATAATGATAATAGTGGTGTATAGGGAGAATGATGCAATATTTTAAATAAAATTTATTGGTATCGCATGAGAAAACAAGAAAAGAGAAAAAAAAAAAATTATTAATGTGGAATTGAGAACTTGTTTCTACTTTTTACTTACACAAACATTGGTGTGAATGAAGTTTCTTTTTTTTTGAACTTTTTATTACCACATACAAAAGTTCACAAACTATAGAAGTGTAATTTATTTTCATTTTCGTCTTCCCGATGTTCATGTCAATTACCAAATCCATATCACGAAAATAATGCATTTGGAATTTGGGAAATTTTACGCAAGTGTATGCAAACACAGCAACTATGATATATTGATTTTGAGTCATAAACTAGCTCATCTTCTTTGCAGTTCTGACATGCATGCAAGCATAACCACCATGATATATAAATAGAGGGGCATTAGGTATAGACAACTTCATCTTATTTGTATTTTCTACCTTTTGTTGTTTGATTGTTACCTCGTTTTGTTGTCTTGCTTCTTTATGTATCTTGGTAACTAATGTTTAACTTGAATATCTGTCAGGACTTTGATCAGTGATGATAACTCTTGTCAAACATCCACGGATTTGCAAATGGTGCAATCGTCGCAGAACCATTTCTCGAACTTGTGATCAAGATGAAGCTAGCCAGGTAGCTATCTTGATGATCAAAACCCGCAACCTCGCACTGTCTTTGGGGTTGTTGGAGTTCTTCAGGCAACTTTGAAGGAGATACAACGTTTTTCTTTAATTTTTTTTCTTCTTTTTTACTTCAGCTTTCTAATATCTTCGATGTCATTTCGTTTATCTAGTGAAATATAAAATGAAATTTTATGTGCAAATTTTAAATCATTGATCATATGTGACAATAATGGACAACTAGACTAAATATTTTCCATAGCTTTATTGATTTTGAGAATATAAGGGCCATTTGGATAAAGAGAATGATTTTGAAACTTAGCAGCTCCTTTGGAGTCAAGTCACGAAAAATTTATTCTTCATGAATTTCTTAGTCTCGGGGTGAATAATTTATTTTTGATCGAGTGAGGAGGGGGGATGATTAGTTGAGGAGCAAGGGCGGAGCTACTTGAGGACCGTGCCCGCCCTCAAATTTTTTTTTTAAATATTATTTGTATATTTCAAATAATTTGAAATATATTTAAGTGTGTTTACTCTATCATTTTTTATTCTATCAATTAGTATAGTTTTCGTACCTAAATAATTATGAATTTTTTGACACACTTTGGACACTTTATGGATAGGGCTGTTACTCAAACGAGTCCGAGTCGAGCTTGAAAAACTTGTTTCTTAATCGAGCCTTAAAAATTGTGTAACTTCGGCTCGTTTAGGAAACGAGCCGAGCTAAGCCCAAGTATTTGCACATAAATGAGCCGAGTTTGTGGAGTTTGAGCCGAACTTACAGGGTTTGTTTTTTAAACGAGTCTAAAAACTTGTTCAAGTTCGGGTGCGTTTAGAAAATAAACCGAGCCTGAACGAGCCGAACTCAAGCCAAGCTCGAGTAGCTCAGTTTGATTAATAGTCTTATTTATGGATACATCTATATAAGTTTTTGACATGTCGAACTCATTGTTTTTAAGCTATAGAGATTCCAATTAAAAAAAAAAACTATAGAGATTATGACAACTAGGTTACTTAATTAAATGAGTGATCAATGAATAATAGTTTGATCATATATATGGAGAAATATAATAATATCTTTTATGTAGTTTGCTTAATTTGTTATGAAGGGGTATAATTAGTCTCTCTTTTTTGTTTGTTTTAATTTATGTATGCTATATTTATCAAAATTTCACCTTTTTCGTATTTTATGAATTTTTAAATATCGAATACAATATAATAAATTTGAATATATTATTTTATTTTTATTGATTAGAAGAAAAAAAATTAAAATTTTTTAATAAAATGTCAACTCTAGACATAATTTCTGACTCCGCCCTTGTTGAGGAGTACATCAGTTTGGCTTGGACATTCTTGATTGTAATACCCAAAAAAGAAGAGAAAATGATTTCTAAGAAAATAACACAGCTGCTGAAAAAGTTTTATAACCCGATTTAAATAAGAAATAGTAGCAGTTTGAAATACATTAAAACAAGCCACTTGGAATTTGAAATTATCCAAATACCCAGCATAACGAAAATGAAACGAAAAATTAGGGTGTTAATCATGTCGTGTCATTTTCGATCGTGTTATTTTTGTGTCGTATCATTTTTGGTACGTGTCGGATTCGTGTTAATAAAAAATTATTTAATTTGATAACAATTAATATAATATTATTTAAAAAATTATAAAATTCTTATTTTTTATCTACAATACTCGTTAAATAGTTATTTTTTATCTATAGTACTTATTAATCGTGTTATTCTTGTTAAATTTTAATTTAATTAATTTATTATTCGTGTCAACTAATTGTGTTATTTTCGAGTTCTTGTCGGGTTCAAAAAAAATTGATCCCCCCGGCAAAAAAAAAAAAACTAGGTAAATGGTGTGTTTTTGGCCTAAAAATAACGCATGTGATGTGATGGCCATTCATAAGTTTTCTAAATAAAGGACAAGACCTTGTACTCTCTTGTTTCTGTGGATATGTGTGTAGATTTTTGTGCTACGAACAATTAAAAAAATATAAAAAATATAAAAATAAATATAATAATTTAATGTAGTTCATTAACTTGTTTATGTCTACGAGAGAATTATTGTGTTATTTTTTATTCCATGCACTATAAAAATAGTGTTACAATTTAATATATATAAGTTATAACCCTAAGTAGGGCAAATTCTGAAGTTTCTACTCCATATAATTGTGTTCTGATAATTGACTCATTATCTTTAAATTTGACGTATCTCTGCATATATCATATTAAATATGAGTTACCTGTTTTAATACTATGCTCTCTCTTCCGGCTACGCTATTTGGTCGAATCAGCACCACTTCTACTTTAGTGAAACAAACTAGTTTTGATGTAGAATGTACTTATCTGTCTTGCACATAGAGGGTGACCAGAAAGAAAAAAAAAAGGTGGAGAGAAGAGAGAGAAAGATGGGTTGTTTATTAAAATGAAGTGGTTGTGAGAAAGAAAATACATTGAAGAATGTTGTCTTCTTCCAAGTGGGAATTCTACAGAAACATTATTGCAAAGAAAAGAGCGGTGGGTTGTTGCTCTTTTCTCTGTCACGAAGAGGTTATGGAGGGTGATTATTCAAGTGCACAAAGGCCAGAGAGAGAGAGAGAGAGAGAGAGAGAGAGAGAGGTTTAGTCGGTTTGGAATAGAAAATAAAAGAGGAAGGCCATATCAGTTATACATTTAATGAGGTCCATGTTTCAGTGATAAGAATAACAAACACCCTGGAATTCCGAAATCTTGCAAAGATTTGTGCATGGTGTTTACGTCCCCTTGTGCAAGAATGACATGTACAAATCAAGGAAGGGCTAAAATTTTCAGAAAATATTGTCACGGGCTCGGATTAGATGTGTCCATTAGTTTATCAACGGTATCAACACTTGTGTAGGTCGTTTAAACTTTGAGTAATGTTATTGAGTTTTAAAAAATTAACCTAATTGTTGACTTAATAATGTGATATTGACATGTTTCAATAGTATTGTTATTATGATTATAACTATTGAACTCTATCACTCGACACATCATTATATTGCCAAACAAAAATATTATTATGAGTCAATTTTTTAGATTTTAATAATATAACTCTTAAACTTTTCGGTTGGATGTGTGCTAACATATGACCAAAAAAAAATGGGTGAATTAGAAGTTGGATTCATATTGTCTCGTCTCACAATATATATATGTGTGTGTGTGTGTGTGTGTGTTTCACACACAAAGTGCATGGACTTAGTAGATTCATCTCATCTCCCTTATATTGACCCCAAGTTTCGAGAGTTTTGACTAGGTCTGTCAAATGAATATGAACAAAGTCTTTTAATCTCATTCTTATAAGAAAATAAATGGAATATGATCAAATTTTAAAATTTGATCAAGATTTGAGTCGAGTCTGAATTATATGCCACTCTACTTGATAGAATGGAGCTTGCGATTCGGTTCTAATGAAATATACAAACATTGTTAATGTTTAAGAATTAACTACCCTTTAGCTAATTATGCAAAAGCGTAATGCATTTGACTTGTGATGATCAAGAGATCGCGGGTTCGAGTCTCACTAGGTATATTTCTCAAGCTCGACCCCGTGATATTCTTGTTTAGCCATGTCTCAGGAAACCTTCAGATGTCTATCTTTCTTCGTTTATATTCTTCTGTTCAGATTTTGCAGCATCTATATAAAGCAGAAGACAAGAAGAAAACCAACACACACTCACCTTCTATGCCAGATTTGTTAAAGAAAACTCTAAAGTTGATAAATACCTAATCTGTACTTTATAGATTATCTGCTTTTGGTTCCATTATCAGCATTACAAATTCAACTATTAAGCAGGGTGGCATTAATATTTGTCATTATTAGATTTTTGTGTAATTAGATGGTGACCTAGTTATCTCTCCTTATTTTAATCATATGTCGTTTACAGATTAGGTTTTGGTTTATCGTTAGTTTTTTTGTAGGGTAGCACGAATAAACAAACGAAATTAAACAACAGAAACTATAACCTGCTAATTATAGTAATAATATCAGATTAAAGCCTTCTAGAGTCTTATTGATTCACGAAAAATACCAAATCAATTGGGAAGAAAAGAGAATTCGTCTCTACGTTTATTCAAAATAAAACCACAGTTGCAGAATCAGTTTTCAAGACCATAGAACTACAAAACTCCAATGGTCCTAAATTACCAGAAGGATCAAGCAAATAAGCAAGTATTATGAAAATACCCCAATCAATGGGATAAAACAGAAAAGTGCCTAAAAACTGTTATCAAAAGACGATGGGTTGAAGAACACACTTCGATCTTGCTCAGATCATCGAGAGATTTTTGAAATGAGGTTTTCTGAAATTTTTTGACATTGTCGTCCAGAATCAATCTCGATTGGAGTTCGATCAACGCTACTTTCAACGGTCTTGATTTGTCATACGTGTTGCATCATTTTTCAATAGGAAAAAGGCATAAAGGAAATTGAACTGCCATAATTTTTAGCTGCAGATTTAACCCACTTTCAAATATGCAATTGTTCATATTCAACTTGATACGAGTTCATATACAAAAGATTACATACCGAGTTTAATATTGTATCAAAAATTACTATAAAGAGTTAGTTACAACTCAAATATTTGTGTCAAATTTAAACTCCAAAAAAATAATTTATCCCTAAAAAAAATTCGGAATTGTTCCTAAATTGTTATGGTTGAAGGTAAATGTCACTTGTTTTATCGAATTTTCGTTTTATCAAAAGTGAGGATAATTTAATAAATTTTGAAAATAACGTCCTCCTTCAAAAAAAAAAAGAATTCAACTAATAATTTACCACATTATTAAATAATACTATATATTTTATATAAGAGGTGGTTTGGCATTGACTTGCATGATTGCAAAGGCTTACCCGACCTTTGATGAAATAAATAAAAAGAAGTCCAATGGAAGAGATTCAAACCCCAAATTATTTAGTTTTTATTATCTTCCAAAACTGATGAAATATTTTAATTCAATTTACATTATTATAGTTCACAGTCAACCGTTTAGCTGCCGACAAAAACTTCGGCCCTGCATCATCATTAACCATGTCTTTGGATATGACAGGTCTACAGTATGGAGAAAAAAAAATTGGAAAATATTTATCACCTTTTTTTGTAATTTTTTATCACTTTTTTTGTTATTTTTATCATTTTTGTGGTATTTATCCTGAAAATGGTAAAATTAATAAATTCCCTATAAAAGTTGTAATTTTTTTGTTGTAAAACGACTCCACAAAAGTTGTAAAACACAACCATTAAAATAATAAAGTTTAGAAGTACGGTACTGATTTTTTTTTCGAGCACTGTAGTCAATTTCCTTTGGCTCTAACCTATAAGTTAGCTAATTGTATGACAAATTATATACGATATAAACTTGATAGTACGCCACCAGAAGTACAAGTTTTGCTTACTAGCGTGATATTATTCATTTTTTTTAAGACATTGTATGAAGAAGTGACAATTATGGATGTATCAGAAACTAACAGTATTATAACAAGACTGTTGGTCGCAGACAGATGCAAAAGCAGTGGAGTGCACCATATGCTTCTATTCATAAAAAATTGTATAACAAGCCCTAATTTTAAGGAAAAAAAAATCACATTTAAATTGACTTGCAGATCCATCTATATAAGATAGTTTAGAAAGTCAAATACCTAAAAGCTTAAGCTTACGCATAATTGAATCGATCAAATGTGTAATATTTATCGTCCCTTCTCTCACTATTTTTTTGACACGGGATTTTAAGTTGTATGCGTGACCTTAACTTAATGCATGCAAAAATTAGCTCGATCATCCCACATCGATATCAAGTACGATCATAACGTTATTTTTTTCAATGCTGGACTTTAATTCTAATTCAAAATTTACACATCCAATTTAGTCTCTTTTAATGGGTTCTAAACGAGATATGAGTTTTAAACGAAATTGATCTCACATATCTAACTTTTTAGCATTGAAAAATGGTTACCCTCGAGGTCAAACCCACAACCTCATGGTTATTGGGCTATTGGAACTAGAAGTACATCAATAAGCCAAATTATTCTAAAAGCCAATCCTCATTTTTCCTATTATGTTCCAGTTGGCAGCCATAGTCTATATAACATGCCTGCCTGCTATTTAAGTGAGTGGTTGCTCAGTCCTATTCATTTACTTTGAGTTCATTCCTCCAGCACAGGATGTTCTGGATACAAAAATGAGCAGACATAAAAGTTTCCTAAATCATGCTCCTATAAATGATATATACATCCATACGAGTAGAATACATAGGGGTATAGCCCGGGTAAACCAAATAAGATTTTGACGTATATCATTTATTGAAAATCTACAAAGTCGCAATCCTGACTGCGGTAGCAGACTTTTTTTAGATTCATTCTTATATTTCAGTCTAACTCTTCTTTCTGTCTTTCACTGAATCTCCACTACTTGACTTACAACTTGAGCTAACATACAGTAGCGAGCTACTCAAAAGTTGAAAGAAACTGTGCATTCCAAATGTGTTTACCAAATATTGCATACTAAATGATGTAACACAATCTTATGCATTGAATGTTTAATAGGAGTCAGTAAGACCCACTAATCCAACCACTTACAATGATTTAGTATACAAAATTTGCTAAATAGTTTGATAAATGTAGCGATGTTCATCTTATTCCCCAAGCAAAATATTCCAGTGTGCAGTTCAGAGTATGAGCCTCCTATTAATGCAAAGTGATTTTGCAATTCCCTTTGCTGATTTGTTTTTGGGTACATTTATGGAGTGTAGAAAGGTTTGGTCATCAGGAAGGCCAGGGATGCAACCTCATCTGAATTCATTGTTTTTTAAAAAGATCTGTAACAGTGGTGGTGGGTAACTACAAAAACATCAAAACACAAAAAGGGAACTCAGCTCAGAATATGAGAAATCTGCCATTGCGAAGAATGTGGAGGAGGCTCATATGTACACATTCTTACTCAGGCTTGGAGATAAGATCTTTCCGTGTCTTCTTGATAGCTGGAAGTTCTTCAAAAGTATGAAAAGCTGGAGAACTTTGTTTCATCCATTCCAATGTGGTTGGATTCTGTTCAACAGCCCAAAGCCTTGGAGCACATCTTTTATTCTTTTCACTATTTAACGTGATTGTTACGATTACAAAGAAACGACAAATCCCAACTACAGTTATATAAGAGCCAGAACTACTAATGGCATTCCATCTAGCGTAAGCATCTGAATAATCTAGAATGCGACATGACATACCCAAAAGCCCTAAGAAATGCATGGGAAAAAAGGTCAGATTCACCCCACAACAAGTGATAAAAAAATGGATTTGACCTAATATTTTAAGGTATGTCCGACCAAAGATTTTACCTAACCAATAGTAAAATCCCGCCAATAAAACAAAAACGGATCCCATAGAAAGTACCCTCGAACCTGAAACTAGCAAAATGTCTTGCACACAAGTAGATCAGAGAGAGGAAGGTGAAAGAATGAGGGAAAAAAACCAACTAGCCCAGGAGTGAAAAAGCCAACAATAATGGAAATAATTAGTAAGTTGCAGAGACGAAAAGATTTTATACTGAGGGTGAATATCTCAGATCGCATACTCAATAAGAATACTGCAATGATATCCTAAAAAGGTAAGAAAAGAATGTAATTTAAAAATTTTAAGTTCAGATCCACATGTTATTGCTTTCCTAGTCAGTTATATCTCATCAATGGCTCTCTCAATTCAACACTAAAATGAATAAATGATTGTTTTTACATTATCATATTCAAATCTGAGAGGTCATCCATGGGTATTTCAAGACCTATGGAGTCATGATCTTGCAAGCCATCTTCATCAAAGTTCAACCAGGTACCGAGATCTTGAATCCCACTAGGATCATCGGACACACCTATTTCTTCTAATCCATCTAGCCGCAACATTTCAAAATCAGCAGCCTCTTCCTCTTTAGATGCATCCCGAGTGATGTTAACAGGAGATGGAAGCCCTTCTTCTCTGCGCGATGAATTGCTAACTTTAGCCAGTGATTGATCGGATTCACTAACTGATGGGCAGGCAAGATTTGTTGCTTCCATTAATGTGTCCTGACATCCATTTCCTGAAGTGAACGAATGATTTGTATTTTGTCTGGGCTTTGTTTTTGATTTGTGGTCACTCCCGAAGGTGCCTACTGATGGGCAACCAGTGCCAGAAACACGATGGCTCATCAACATATTCCTATTTTGATCTCTCGCTCTCCCGCTTCTCTTTCCCTTCACTTCACAAAGGACAGTGCTGGCCAGAACTGATGTTGATTTTAAGGAAGCACTACGTATATTATCAAGTAGCACTTCCTTGTTCTTCCCCTCATTCAGTAAATTATCACTACGAGAATGGTTTCTCTCAAAAGGACTGGAAACGGCAACAGTGGCTGCAGTAGGAACCCAAGCATTATAGAGTCAAATGAAAACAGATAAACAGCTGAAAAAAATACTTAGAATTCAGAGTGATGATTCAGTAGCTCCCAAAATCCAAAAGAAGAATATGTCAGAGGCTGCTATTCTATGCTGATATGCTAGGGCCTCATAAAATATCATCCTGTTACAACAAGAGTTACCAGAATTCACTAAATCCCTAATGACCCACGATCTGGGTACATTGATCCCAAGCCGGATGGGTTCGCAATCCAGATCACCAAAATATACGATCCCAAATTGTATACGTAGCACAAATATAAAATACATATTAATTAACTACGTATATATAAATTTATAATTATATATTATTTTACATAATAAAAATCAAGCACAAATATAAAATAAATAATAACTGACATAGTGTTTATGGATGTTCTATGATATATAATATTGTATAGTGGTAAAAACAATCTACATAAGAGTTCAAAAACAAATTGTGACCCAAAATACCGTATTAGCTAAGCCTACCCTCATCGTACTGCGTACTTAAGAAAGTGTCGTACCCCCGTACACGTACCCATATCACGGACCAAAGCGATCCACGATCTAGGCAACATTGGTTACAACATTTCTTACTTGGATAAAATGTTATAAAGGCATTAATGTTTTAGGATATGGCATCCATTATAATTGCAAGATAAATAAATAACATACCTGAACCCCTAGGTTCTGCTTTATGGCTCTGTGCTTCATTATACATACTACCAGAGGTCTTTGAGCCAATACAATCAACAGAATTAACATCAGTGTTGGATGGAAGCACAGAGAAGATAACATCCCGCAAATTAGGCTCACTAAAGCAACTCGTGCCACCGTCTTCAAACTTTTGACATCTAGCAAGAGTACGGCGGACAAAGGCCAATGCAACTTGTTTTGAGACCTTACCAACCACACCTTTCGAGGAGTGACTCCTTCGTGAAGCCTGTAGATTTTCATAAATAACAGAATAGTCCATCAGAGAGATAGAATTGGAGCAAACAAAGGGAAAGTTCCAGTTCAGTTAACACGTGGGGAGCTCCAGAGGCTTGAAAAGCAGCCAAGGCAACTGAGAAAAGAGAAAAATAAGGTTTCTGGTGCAAGTGAGAACATAATGGAAGTAAATATTGGGGTGAGGTCAGACTATTATCAGGTCAGGACAGTCAATATATGAACAATTATGTGAAGTCTCATTTAACCAGCCGACTCTGGATCACAAGATGGGTTAAGGGAGTCAAATGATGGGAGGGCAGGGTGATGCCCAGGGATTGCAGTGAGCCAATTATGGGTGTATGGTGGGGATGAGGAAAGAAAATTCTGGGACAGGAAGGATTATCCAACGATGAAGCTAGACAGACCATTTCCTGTTTGAGATTAATTGAACAGAATCACTGGGGAGAGGGGATATTGGTTGCAGGAAGGGAGTGCCTTAATTGGGCTGGTGTAATGGAACTCAGAGGAAGAATTATCATTAACACTGGAATGTCCTCCAGTTACTATTTAAACATTACTGGGGAAATGTGAACCCATTAGGCCTCTACTTTTCATGAATGACAAGGATCCTGATGATGGTACGAGAATGAGAAAGGTGGAAGAGCGATCGGCTTGCGTTGGGAGAAAAATTGGGCACTTTTCGGTAGGTATCCTTAGAAAGTTTTTAAACCAGTGAGAAGATTGGAGAACCGATCAAATACGACACAACAGGGAAAAGGATGAGTTCGAGCGCAGCAAGGAGAGGAAGGACTTTGAGGGGGTTAAAATGTAGACTTAACAGCTGAGTTCTCAATTTAATGCTCTCCTTTCTTATAGTCCAATGATGAGATCCTGATGTATTTACTTTCTCGTCAGGATGTCTTGGGCAGTATGGTTTTCATTTAAAGGGTACGGATGTTTCCCGGTGTTCCCTTTTGTTGGGCATCAGTTAAAAAAAAGCATCCTTTCTGGTGCTATTGGCATTCATCTATCCGCAACATGGAAAAGATATAAATATTTTCTTTTCGGAAAGAAATTGATCAATGGTGTTCTTGTTAAACAAATATACAAAAACTTAATATTTTTCATATGTACTAAAGTTCTTTTATCTAACAAATTTTTTGATTATTAGAGTTACTTGTATTGTTTTACCACTGAATACAATAGAACACCATATGTGCTTGTAGTAGTTTCAAACAGAAAGCAATATTAGATTTTAGTGCATCAGAATTGGACAGAACTGGAACTTAAATCAACGAGCAAGATATCAATTACCATGTATTTTTTGTAAGCAATTTCAATCAGTTGGTTCATTGCAACCTGTTCCATGTTCCTGCAAACCAAATTATAGTGTTCTTATCCGGAATAAGGCTAAAATGACTAATATCATCCAGAACACAACCAATATGTGCTCTTACCGTCGTTCTACAACTGTTCCACGTTGAATAGCTTTCTCAATTTTCCCTAAATTTTTCTGCACTTTTCCTACCTGTAAAAATATTAAATAAAAATGAATAAAATTAAATGTCATAACTAAAAGAGATGCCAAATTTGAGACCAACAGGACAACACTACTTGAGTACAAGAAACAACCTGCTGGTACAGACCCCCTTGAAGTTCCACAATATCTTGATTAATCTCTGCTCTTTCCACTAGATGAGGCTGCAACGCATGCACAGTAAAAAATGATGAAAGTGTAACTCATAAACAATAAAAATAAGGAAAATGATGAAAATGTAAGGTGTGAGGATCATATAAGCGATTATTACATTGCCGCTATAGGAGCATACCATTGTCTCTGGATACAAGCCAATGCTCTGTAGCTCCAGCAGTAACCTGTCATCCAGGGACAGCTTCTGGTATTCACAGCCTGATGAGGAATTAGCAGAACCATCAACTTGCATAGAATTTGGCAAACCCAGATCATTCTGACAACTCCCAGGGAGAACTCCTGCATCCGGATATGACAAGCAATCATCCGATTGCCATTGTTCATTGGAAGATAAAGAACTGGATACACTTCGGTTACTATTGGTGTTAGGTGAAGCACTCCTATTACATGAAAATCTATCCAGTAAACAATGCTTCTGAGTCTGCAAATCTACTTCTGACTCAACCTCAGATTCTGTTCGGTCCCTATCTTTTAGTTCAACATCAATAAGGTTACAAGAACCACAATGAGAATCATCACTTGTGCACTGAATGGACTTATTTCTGCCTTCATTCTGATTATATGACTCTTCACTAACATTTTCTTCAATTAGAGCAGAGAAAACTCTCTGATACAGTGGAGGAACTTTGTCAAACCTCCTTCCCATGTCAAACCCATCAAATAACACATCAGATTTGACTGATTCTTGAGTTGAGGTGTTTTCTTGTCTTCCACCAGAATAAAGAGGCACGTTTTTGTGCTTAAGTAAACCCTGAGATATTAGATTTAAACAACTTATCTTTAATACACAAATGCAGTGAAATGTCCGCAACTGATTAATGCAGGTAAGAAAATATAATGAAGCATAATGCTAATTAAGTACCAAAGCATCATATTCGACACCAATAATCTGAGACAGACTCTCAATGAGCTCCTCTCCACGATTCAGCTGTTTCCAAACCAAAACCGAGAAAGTAAACAGAATATTAGCATCCATAAGTCTAGAACCACAAGGAGGTAATGAACTCATGCATATTCTGTTATCCAGATATTACTCGCTGCTTCAAGTACTCTGCATCCTGAAAGCTGACAGAAGCAAAGAGGTATTCCACTTTCTTCCAAAATGGACCAGAACAGGAAACCTCTGCATAACAGAATTAGAATTGAAATAAGTATGCAAAATAGAAAACTTTTATTGAAAAGTAAAGGGAAAAATTAACCCAGATGGCAGATGCTTACTACTAGCATTACAAGCAGAGTTTGCAGCAGTTAATAATTCTTCATGATCATCAAATGATTTACCTGAACAATTGTAAACTACAAATACATTATTATCGTCTCCAAGGATGTCAAGACAATTTTTGTGTTATCTTCTTCTTGTTTCAGCTATTTTTCATTTTTCAAGCACCGCCAACCAATTAAAAGACTAAAGGGCAGCCTAGTGCACAAGTTTCCCGCCCCTGGGTTCTGAGAAGGGTCAAATGTACACAGCCCACGTGCTCACAGGATGTTTTCATGACTGAAACCGTGAAGCCTATGTCACAAAATCTTACCGGTGAGCCAAAACCCACCTCACCACCAACCAAAACATTTGGAAAAAGTGAATGGCATAACTAGAAGGGTTCCAAAAAGAATATGAAACAAATGTGGAAAACATGCAAAAAAATTGGTGGGCATTATCAAGAAAATACATGTTCCAATAAGAGATAGAAGCAACATTTACTAGGACTCACAGAAAACATTAACCTAAACTGAATGTAACGATAATCATACCAATATATATTCATGCATCAGACCAGGAATGGAACAATAAAAGTTTATATTTGTCCCATGGAGGTGAAATACAAGAAGACTTTTGCAGTATCTTTTGAGTAGACAAATTGCAAACCAGAATATCCAAACATGTGTCACAAATATGACCTAAAATTTAATTAGTTATACCTGTGAAATCTGAGGAGCCACAGTTTATCACATGCTGGGTACAAAACGAAGTCTTGCGATCGGTTGGCTTCTTTGAAGGTGGACGGCCATACTTACTTGATAAATATTTCAGATATGTCAGTAATAATAATAATATGAAAACAACTAAAACTTAAACTTTCCTCATCTTTTTCAGAGAATCGATTCATTACCTCTTATTTTTATCAGAGGTACACTTCATCCTTTGAAGTGTCTTCCTTACATGTAATTTCTCTCCATTCTTCCTTGTCTGAGAAATGTATGGTCTAGTTGATGATGAAAACCCCCCAGTCCAAACTTCGCCCTTTGTACCATCTTCATTTTCTTCCTTAAAAATTGTTTTATTTTTCCTTGATGGCAATAATAAAGCCCCAGCTTTACAATCTGCATTTACAGAAACCTCACCAGTATCTGCTTTTTCTTTCAACTTGTTCTCTCCACATCTTGAATCTTCACCTTGAGAAAATCCAACAGGAGGTGAAACAGTCTCTGATTTCATTTTCAATTTGGTATTGCTATTGTCTATGCTGCTAAGATGCAATCTGCTGGTTGCATGAGAAGGAGTTCTAGCACTAAGATCGGATGTTGTAAGGCTTTCAGATGATATCTGAGCTTCATCATTGTTTGAGACTGGACCAGCAAGATTGGCTCTCTTTGTGCGAGAGATTTTATGTGGTCTCTGACCAACCCACTGAGCCATATGATGAGCAGATGAATCTGTAGATGTTGGATGCTTCGGGACATTTGCAATGCCCAATGCAGAGTCTCTACTTTCATTTGTATGCTGTTCACAACCCTCGAGAACTGCTGATGAGGGTTGAACATCAGGAGATGAGCCTACCATTGACACAAAACTGGTCCTCGCTGCTCTAGAAACCTTCTGTTTTATAGTACTTCTCAGACTGCCTGCCACGTTCACCTCCTGAAGATTAAACCTAAAATTGAAGCCACAAATAAATTTATCTCCCATCAGTCAAAAATTGGGGAAAATAGATATCAAAGAAATGCAAAGAAAAAACATGAAAGCCCAGATCGATGCTCTTCACTTTTGATGGTTTCATTGTTTCTGCAGCTCTACTAGATACTACAAGAAAGACACGTGTTAGCAAGGGGCTACATACTTATTGTTTCCTTTAGGTATTTCCCTCTCATCCAGCATGGAGCTCTGCAGCTCATTTCTCATTGCTCTACAGGAACTAGGTTTAGCAGACTCGAAAGATTCATCTAACCTGTTGGTTCCACTCACTCCAGGAGAAGGCCTTGATCTGCGAAAGAGAATAATTCCAAGAACATTATCAGTGCAGTTCTAGTTGAATTGGCCCCCCTCCCCCCAGCTCCAACCCAATTACATTCAAAGTAAACAAATCTATTTTTTTTTCTGTTTTCTTCCTTTTCTTTGGGGAGGGGTGTGGGGTAGGTAATCCACATTATTACTCATACCCAGAAAAACCCAACAACTCTTGTTTCCCTTTCTCCAGGATATTCCCGCAGTTTAATTGCAGTACCACAGTTGGCAAAATGCACAAACCAGCACAGACGCTGGTGCATATCCCAAGCATGATAGTGTTGCACCTTTTTTCTTCATTCTGCTGGGAGTATGACATGCATTTACCATTACTGAAATCTGTCTTCATTTTTCAATTCCAAGCAATTGCAATGGTCAAAAGAGAACCAGAAAAACACGTGCACAAAGAACATAGCTGCTATCCCATATTTAGAGCACATTGTTTATAGGCTGTCCAGCAGATTGTCCCAAACAGAACAACAGTCACTACCAGTAAAAAATTCAGAAGAACTCCTCTACTTAATATTCATTAGAGTGGAAGGGGGCAACCATGGACACACTTTATACAAATAGTAAACAAAGGGAAGAAACCAATAACCTAAGACAACAAGGGCTGAATATCCCTGAAAACTAATAGTTACAGTTAACCTTTATACCAACCCAAAAGAACAATAAGGCCTCTAATAAAAACAAAAACTCCCTTAACAGTCAAAAGTGAATGTATGGCCAAAGAGTCTTCTTCTGCAACAACACCAAAACACACTCCTTCAAAGTATCGCTGAACAGTATTGAACATCATACATACATAAGCAGTAGGACTTCTACAAGGAGAGGTAATAATTCATCGATCCATTAAATTGGCTAATTTTTTCTTCTTTTTTTTTTTTTGAAAATGAGATTCCACCTGGGGCCTTTTGATGACAGCAATGCAACACGAGCCAAAATATTAGAAGGGCAAGACACCTTCTATCTTTGGCAAAGAAGATCTACCTAGTGTTTTGGTTGCGTGAAAATCTACCAAGCTTGCTAGAGTGTGTGCTATTAATTAAAATTTTACACGTCACCAATTACAAGCTGCAAAACTACTTCCCAAAGAGGACAAATTGCAAATCTTCACAAAAGTTCATAATATTTCATTAATTATTGTCCTTCTTAGTAGATAATATGATACCAAATGAGGAATCTACTTTCTTGAAAATTCAGTTCCCATTAAATCCAGCTAAAGCACCACACATCAAATCGCCTTTGACTATGTGCAAAATTAGCTGATAAGAGGGAATATAGAGATGAAAAAAATGGAAATGAAAGTAATCTGGCATGTTAGTCGTAGAATCAGTGTCAAGCGCATTTCTTATCCAAATTGAATAAGATAGGCGTAAATGCAGATCACAAATTATCGACAAGGCATGGAATCAAAATCAATTTTGTGAGGGGTAGGATGGGGATGGGAAGGGAATCGACTCTATCTCGGATAGCAAGGTCAGAGGACAAGGACCAGAGGTGGAGAAAAAGCAAGTAGAAGAATAACAAAAACTCACTCTTTAGATGTGTAAGCAAACTAGTTTCTGCTAGAACCCTGGCTGTTCTTGCTGATTGGTATTCCTCTACTGCCAATCTCACATCTAGCAGCTTAAGCTTAGAAGACTGTATTTCAAGCAGAAAGCCCTACAGATTTTTTTTGAGCCATGGCGGCAGAAGAAACCCTAGATGAGTGCTAGTGTGTGGACGTGAAATGAGGGTTCTCTTATATAGTAAATATCTTAATCATCATAAATCACCCTAGCAGTTATTATTTTGACTTGGACGTTATACGTTCCCAAACGTTGCGTAAAATGCTCAGGCTACCAACAATAAAATCAAGTGTTCAAATATGAGACAACTGCTTTGTGCAATAGTCCTCAACATTTGGATGTACCCAATCTACCACCCAGCACTCAAGTAAATTTTGATTTTATTAGTACATATCCAAGCATGGCTTCATTTATAGATAAGTGGAGACAAAATTTCCAAATAAAGGAGTTTAGACAATATATAATGTCCATATGCTATACATGTGCATGAGCTTAACAGAATGACCTGAAGTGTTGCATATTTCCATACGGCTACATATGAAGATATATAACAAAAGAAATACATCTTATAAGGAAAGCTAACTCCTAAATCTCTATCTCCAATAATCAAGTGACAAAGAACGATCTCGAGATCTTGATATGACAAGTTTTTGGGGATTTAACACATAATATCTCTCTCCAATAATGTAACGACCCGCCCCACCTATCAAGATATTGTCCATTCTGGATGACAAGACACTCTCACAGTTTTGTTTCTCCGGGGCGCTGCCCAGAAAAGGCCTCTTAACAGTTAAGGATGAGCACACCACATAAATAGCCTAGTCAGTCCCCCTCCCAAGTCGATGTGGGATGCTACACATGAAACTACAACACCTCACCTCGCAAGGCCTATGGGCAAGCTACTACACTCCGCACCCCCCCCCCCCCAACCTGCTGTAGAAGAGTCGGCTCTGATAGTACCTTTAACGACCTGAACTATCAAGATATTATCCGTTTTGAATGCCCATACCTCTTGTTAGTTAAGGGTGAGTATACCACATAAATAGTCCAATCACTCCCCCTCCTAAGTCGACGTGGGATATAACACATGAAGCTGCAACATCTCCTCACTTTGCAAGGCCTACTGTCGGGCTACTACAAATAATCAAGTGATATGACTCGGCTTCGGGGATTGATTTGGGGATCACAAGATAATTTGCTACCACTCACCCGTAAATTGATGGGTCGATCAACAAGCTAGCATCCTTGTTCTTCTGCTATATATTGATGACATAATTCTAACCGGTGAAAATTAGTCCTCATTATAAATTTATAAAGCTTTAATTGAAAGCTCAACATTGAATCTACCATAACTAATCTCGCTTGTGTTGATTTTTTTCCATAGGATTAAGACTACTCACTCTTCGGTTATTTTTCTTTGTCCCCAAAACAAATTTACTTGGATTTTCTAAAACATACTAAAATGCTTGATTTAAAACCC